GTGGCCACGCATGGATCACGAGGCATGGGTTAAGGCTATTGGAGGTTGCTCGTCCAGTTTCATGCCAGGGATTGGCTCTCAAGTAAATCCAGAGGATGTTGGATTTAGCTACAGGAAGAGACCACCCCGAGACAACTTGATGCCAACGATGATGATGTTTGACTTTGTTGAGGAGCAAGCACACCACATTGAGGTGGTGGCAAAACAAACTGAAGAGTTAGAAAGACAACGCCAACAAATTATTATGATGCAACAACAGCTAGCCCAGATGACACAAGCCCAGAATAATATGAGCCAGACAATTGCACAGTCTGTTGTAACAGCTCTAGCTGCTTATGACATCTCTCCCCAGGCAGGTCATCAGCCATTTGCCTCACCACAGCCTTCACGTAATTAGGGCTCAGGTCTTCGCATGAATACACCTGTCACCTACTCTACTGATTCTACACAGACCTCTCCTATTGTGCCTGAACATCAGCAGCAGCAGCAGCAGCTTCCGCCTCAAGATGATGTATACTGTCCTGTTTTCGATCCAGACTATTTAGCTCCTTAGTTTTGTTTTCTGCTTGGTTATTTGCATGGTTATCTGCACACTCTGCATGGTTGCCTTTATTTCTATTAGTACTTTTAACTGCTAGCTTTAACTTTTTATTATGATATCTTTTCATATTTTACTTGACCTCCAGTAATCATGCTTGAAGTATGAACTTTTGGACTATTTTGGGGGTTAATTGTTATGAATTGAATATCATGTAGTTATTTAGGACAATGGCATATGGTTGATATACTTTATGGTTGTGGTTGAAGAGAAAAAACTACTTTTAGTATGGTAAAGTTGTAGAATATGTGCTTTTCATTACAAATGCAGGTTTTAAAAAAATTGGTTATGATCAAATATATGGGGAAACTCTGTCAAATTTTTTTTAGAATTATTGTACACTAAAATGACCAAATTGTAAAAAACCTATTGAATAAATTCAAAATTAAATATATATTATACAGATTTAGGTAACTTTACAAAATTAAATAAATTTAAGAAATAAGTCTGGTAATTAAGGGGGACTTAGCATTACTCATAATTACCCACAATTACCCACACAAGGAGCGGGTTGGCAATCTTCATTGTTGGACCAAGTTTTGCTTTTAACTTGCCAATATGCCATTCAAATTGAAGGCATTTCACTTCCCCAGCATGCTCTTAACTTCCGAGCAAGCTTTTGTCGGTAACTGATGGCAAGAACAAACAAGCAGCTCACAAAATTTTTGGATTCTGTCGGCGCCACTGAAATTTTCAATTTACCGACAAGAACCTTGTCGGTAAGAAACAAATTTTTGGATTTTTGGTGGTGGCGCCAAAATTTCCACTTTACCGACAAGAAACTAGTCGGTAAGAAACAAGCGGGATCACAAATTTTTTGGATTGTGTTGCTCCAGCTGAAATTTTCACTTGACCCATGTGTACCACATCGATAATAGGAATACCGACAAGCTAGCCATTGCTAAAAGGCTCTATATATACATATACACTTGCACCGCCCGTTCATTTTATTTGTTTCTTCATTCTTCTTCTTTTTCTTTTTCTTCTCCTCTCCAGCTTTGTCTCTAGAGCTCCTGGTCGGATTTTTCTTCCATTAATCTGTTGCTCAATTTACCATATTTATTATTACATTATACTTATATTATTTTTGGTTTATATCTTCTTAATCTCTGCTCTTTTTCTCTTCCATTCTTTTTCTAGCTAATTCATTGTTGATTAAATAAGAATTTCAGTTATTGATAAATTTATTCACACTACTAATATTTTTTAATATTGTTGTTTTGTAGGAAACATTGTTGGGAGATAGTAATTGGTAAATAAATTTTATTTATGTAATTTATAATTTAATTTCAATTATATTTTGATTATTATTATTTGGTTGAAATAATAC